AAAACAAAGCGTGCATGGAGGATGGAAGAGACGGTGAAATACAAGACAGAAGAAAGCTCGGATGACAGAATTTGGTAGCCATGGCGCTTGGAAAAAGAAAAAGTGGCCGGCGACTTTGAGGAGAGGATATGGATGTCGGCTGTGTTTGAGGGAGATGAAACCCGTGGAAGGAGAGGCAAAGGGATCGTGTCAAAGGAAGAGAGAATCGAAGGAGATTTGGGCGTGGGAGGGAAGAGAAGCTTGATCAACGGCGAATTTTGAGGGGTGGCCGCCGGCTACTTGAAGAAGATGAGTATTCGGGGGATGTGAGAGGATACCGAGAGTGCGTTTGGGTGAGGACGAAGACTTAAGCCTCACTTTTTCCATTTTTTATGTTTTATGTAAAATGATGGGTTTTGGAGTTGGGTTGGGGTTTCACGTAGTGAGTGGGCTCAATTGGGCCTAAGCCTCTCAAATTGAAATGAGTTGGTGTTAGATTGGGTTGGGTTTGAATGACTAATAGGCTCAATATTGGGTATTTGGGTTTTGAGTTTTAGGTAATTGTGGGTTTTGGGTTTTGAGTAATTATGGATTTTGGGTTTTTTGGGGTTTAAACTTTAACGCATCTCTCCCTTTAACTTTTCATTTCTTCAATTGAGTCTTTTGTCTTAATTTCCTTCATATCCCTTTTCCAATCCTCTTCACAAAATCGCCTTTTTACTCTTAAACCTAATAAGAAAAGCAAAGACAAAACAGATTAGTTAAAATAAAAAATAAAAGTAAAAATCAAAGCAAAAAATCAAAATAAAACTAAAATAAAATAAAATTCTATTAAAATTTTGAGTTATAACAACAAGCAGCATCAACTTGATGAAAAATCTGATTCAGATCACAGTAAGTTTACTATTCCAATCATAGATTTAAATGACATTGATCATGATGCCGGAAGACGTTAGAAGGTAATTCAGAAAGTTCAAAATGCCTGAGAGAAATGGGGTTTCTTCTAGGTGATTAATCATGGGATTCCTGCAAGAGTTGTGGATGAAATGCTTGATGGAATGAGAGGATTTCACAAGCAAGATTCTGAGGTGAAGAAACAATTTTATACTCGTGATGAAATGAGAAAGGTGATAAGTTTGGAATTTCATAAATATTAATGAGAAATTTTTACTTGATACTATTGATATTTGAAAAAATATATTAAATGGGATAAAGCATATATTGTAATAGGAGATAGGTTCCATATTTAACTATGTATTTCCTGTTTCTTAATTTTAAATAAAACTTGCGCGTGGCTTTTGAACAAGAAAAAAACATCAAATAAAATAAAAAATCTCATTGTCACATCAATGATAACATTTTAAAAACATAATAATTTGAAATTTATGGTGGTTAATTATAGTTGAATGTCTCAATACTTGTTGAAGAATTTTCAAAACAGTTTTAGGATTTGGGTTCAAATCACAAAAAGTTAGTTTGAAGTAATTGCACAGAATTTATTTGAGAAAGTATGATTTTGATTCAAATTATATAAATATGATTTGAACTGTTTACGTAAAATCAAAATTCAAAAATATGGTTTGAATAATTTACGTTAGAAATAAAAGATATAATTCTGATAAATTTCTCAAGAAAGAGTAGATAACTTTGGAAGGCAAGGAAACATGTGAATTGAAATTCAAATCAAATCAAATGATTTTTGGAAGAGTTTCCAATGGATAAATTTAATGAAAATTCAATATTTTTAGTTAATAAACTAAAAAGGAGTGTTTGTTCCCAATAGACATCTTGCCCTTATAAATATGGACTTATCTCTTCTCCTTCTTAATCTCTTGAACACAAAAATAAATCCCTATTATTATCTAAATAAAACAGCTTCTTTTTGTATTGTTATTGTTGCAAAAATCCTTGTACAAAAACTATTGTTTGTCGCTTTCTAAAGGACAGTTCAGTGGTTGATCTTATTAGTATAAAGGCAAGATCAACAAGGCACTTCATTGTATCTTATGAGCATTTTGGTTTACCCCTTTTGCACACTAGATTTGGTGGGAGCGAAATTAGCTTAAAAGAAAGTGATATTTGCAGCAGACCTTGAAGCCAATGATCTATTTTCTAACCCCCAATTTTCAACAATCTTTAGGCTAATTTTTGAGTTTTTTTATATCATGGTTTACTGGATAATTGAAAAGAAACTTGTGTAACAAAATGCTTGTGACACCAGGGAGGTTTGGTGTGCAACAATGGCAAAATAAAAGGATTTTTAGTGTGATTAGCATCATGTGATGGGTAATCATTGAGCGACGATGGGTCGATCAATGACCAGATATAAAAGCAATCATAAGCAATTGTGTGATCGATTGATGATTGATTAGTGATGATGGATTAATTAATCCCTGGATGTAAAAGCAATATAGAGGATAAAAGATTCCACTAGATTTCCATCTACAACAACAACCAAAGTGTTGATGTTTTAATGGAGGATGCTGCACGTTGGACAATAAAGCAAGGAAATCAATTTTCATGGAAGATGAAACAATGGAGACATGATTTTGTTCATCAAGGAAGCAATCGGAATTTCCAAGTCTGAAGAGGATATGAAATAGAGATGATTCGAGATTTACTATAATATCAAAACAAGTACAAAAACCAATAAAATGATAAAATAAAATAATACGTTCTGGAATTAGAGATAGAACTTTGAAAGTACAATTTTAGTTTGAAACATATATATATGATTCGAACCACTTACGTTAAAATAATGCATGTTTGCTTATTTTATAAATAGTAAGAAATTGATATTACAGTTCCTTAAATCATGAGTTTTTTTGAGTTCTGGCACATGCATCATTTATATCATGAGCTATTCATGCATGTGTGATAGTTCTCTTGTTAATGTTTAATTAATTAGATATGAGGAGAAAACATCTCCTAGAGTTTGGCACAATGAAGCAAGAGACACAAAATGGGTCTTTAAATCCTATTTGGAGATTAAAAAAATCTTAGACTTGATAGCATGTTTCTTGGCTATGAGAAGGAAGATATAAGAGACACATTTCTC